AAAAAAAAAAAGCAATAAAACTATTAAATATTTAAGGATAAGACTTAAGTAAATGGAGACATAGTCTATTTTAGGAAGGAGGAAAATATAATAAAGATGTCAATCCTAAATTAATCTATAAACTTAATGGAATTCTAAACAAAATTTCAACTGGATTTTTTTGTGAAATTTGACAAGGCAATGACAAAAGTTTGCGTGATAAATCTATTCCACGACCTTTTGTAAAAAATTATATGATAGAGCAAACTACCCACTGCAAATTTGAAAAATGAGGTAAGGGGGCACTTGCCTATGACGTTAACATCCTCTGTGATGTTGTACTGATCAGAACCCTGTTATATTGACACAAGAATATACAAATATAAATGGAGAATAGAGTCAAGAAACAGATCACATAGGCATGGGAATATAACATATGACTACACTGGCATTAATCATAAACGAGGATTCATGACCAACCTGGGCAAGAATGAGACCTCCTCTCTAAAAATAGCCGAGCACTGTTGTGGGCACCTGTGGTCCCAGCTACTCAGGAGGCTAAGGGAAGAAAATCTCTTAAGCCCAAGAGTTTGGGGTTGCTGTGAGCTGTGATGCCACTGCACTCTACCCAGGGTGACATAGAATCTATCTCCAAAAAAAAAAATTAAATAAATATCAACGAGGAGTGGCCAGGCACCGTGGCTTATGATTAGAATTCTAGTACTCTGGGAGGCCAAGGTGGGTAGATTGCTTGAGCTTCGAAGTTCAAGAGCAGGGCTGTGCCTGTGGCTCAAAGGAGTAGGGGGCACCAGCCCCATATACCGGAGGTAGCAGGTTCAAATCCAGCCCCAGTTAAAAACAAACAAAAACAACAACAACAAAACAAACAAACAAACAAAAAAAAAAAAAAAAACAGCGTTCAAGACAAGCCTGATCAAGAGTGAAATCCCATCTCCTCTAAAAAAATGAAGAAAACTAGACAGGCATGGTGGCAAGTGCCTGTAGTCCCAGCCACTCAGGAGGCTAAAGCAAAAGAATCCCTTGAGCCCAGGAGTTTGAGGTTGCTGTGAGCTATGATACCACAGCACTATATCCTGGGGCAACAGAATGAAGCTTTGTCTCAGAAAAAAGGAAAAAAGAAAAGAAAAAAACTCCATGGGGAGCTATGATGATGCCATTGCACTCTAGCTGGGGTGACAGAGCCAAACTATCTCAAACAAACAAACAAACAAACAAATCAATGAGGAAATGATAAATTATGAAAGGTAATAATTGGTGCTGGAATAATTGCTCAACTATATGATTAAAAAGTTGACCCTGGAGTGGTGCTTGTAGCTCAAAGGAGTAGGGTGCTGGCCCCATATGCCAGAATGCCGGAGGCGGCGGGTTCAAACCCAGCCCCAGCCAAAAACTGCACAGAAAAAAAGTTGACCTTTACTTCACACCATACAAACAATAAATTCAGGTGAATTTATTTTACCTCATCTTATTAAAAAAAAAAAAAAGCTCAGATAAAACCT